ACAGAAGGCAAGACACCCCCCCTCGGGGGGGAATGGCAATGCCACAATCCCTTCTCCTCCATGGAATTTTGGTCATGAATGCACATGTGCCAGGCCTGAGTTTTAAGTTGCCTGGTCTGGGACTAGAACTGTGGTCATCTATGTGGGAGTCCAACAACATAGCCATTATGCCATTTGCTGGGCCTACAATGTATTTTTTTTGTAAATCATGTTTACAGAAAGTGTGGAAGCTGCTGGTATGGATTACTTTCAAATTTTGCAGGATTATGAATAATCTTTTTAATATCTTGGGTACTTGTCTTCTGTGATTTTGGCAAAGGGCAAAGGCTCCATGTGTCAGGTGGGCTCCCCCCAACTCTATGTGAAATTGCTTCTTCTGCAGGAAAACTAGGACTGCTCGCTGCCTAGGTTGCCCCCCAACCCCATGGCAACCACAGGAACATGGAGCCCTGAACACAGGGACTGCTCAGGCCTGGACCCATCTGTCTGCCCTCACTCACCTTCCTTGGATACTTGTATGGGGCGGTCACCAACTTCACATGCTCCTGCAGCTCCTTGGTGAGCTGGTCCCGGTCATGGGACAGAAATTGTGGGGTCAGGACAATAAACGCCTTTACCACCTGCAGGATGAAAGCAGAGGCTTGCAATGAATTCCAACCTATTATACTATTTTACAAGTAGATGCTGATTATTTTACTTTAATTTACATTTAATCACATGTATCTTTGCAGTGTATAACATTGCTCTTTCCAGCATGAATACCATGCATGTCAGTCAAGATAAAGACATTACTATATATATTATCATCAGCAAATAACTTTCCTTTCTTTGTCAATTAAATGTACTTTTTTTTCTTCCCTTGTTCCCCTCCTTCTACTACCAACCCCCACATTATCCCTATCCTTATTTCCTTTAGTATCTACAGTTCCCCTCCCTGATTCTATATAAGTAGATGTTGATTAAAAGAATGGGAAGGTGAGTTGAACCTTGAGTCTACGGTGGTTAAGAGCATAGGGATTTGGGGAAAAGAGTGGGTTCAAACTCTCCTACTTCCAATTTCTGCTCTCTGCATTGGAAAATTACCTGACCTCACTTAACCTCAATTTCCTTCCCTGCAAAATGGGGACAATAAAAGTTCATTCCTCACAATATTTCTGTAGAAATTCCACTGAGATTGATACTGAACTTCAGCTGTGAAATACTGCTTGCTTTTTTGACCAAAAATGAAGACTTCTGCTGAGACTTGCCCCTCTAGAATCATTTCTCATGGGTAGAGCTCTACTTCTGTCTCCTTCTCTCCATTTCTCTCTGTCTCTCTGTGTCTCCCTGTGACTTTTACTTTTTTCTTCTTCTTTTTTTTTTTTAAGGTAAAGTATTCTCTGGGCTCTCAAGTCCTTCTTTTATTGTGCTAATTGCTGCCTTTCCCCATTTCATTTAGGAAAGGCACAAACCCAGGCCGGGCCCATCCTGAGATGGATACTGAACTTCAGCTGTGAAATATTACTTCTGTGTGGTGTGCTTGCATACTGTGTGGATTCCATATTTTTGCTTTTTAAAATTAAAATCTAATTTTTTATTATCTTCTTTCTTTCTTCTTTTTCATTTCATTTTTTCTCCTTCTTTCCTCATCTCTAATCTTTTCCTTTTTTCTTTATCTTTACTCATTGGCTGTTCAGCCTTTATGCACTGTGTCTAGACAGGCCCAAGTGAATAGGATACAAACATCTGAATACAATTAGGGTCAGAATATTCGTCCATTCCCACTGAATCTGATGCACAAAGAGTGAAAATGGAACAGAAGAGAGATTGCAGATCACCTTCTCCTGTATGCCTCTGAACACTCAGATTGAACTTCAAGAATTAGGAAGAAATGCACCACCCATCAAATGACTAGAAATCACCACAGGGTCACAAGAAATACAGGAAAGCAAGAATATTCCTCTCCTCCAAGGGAAAAGAATAACATCTTTTCATCCTCAGACAGTACAATGAAACTCATGTAAGTGTCTGATAAAGAATTTAGAATATTCATAATGGCAAAGCTAACAGAGATGGGAGAGAAAAGAGACAATGAACTGCAGAAGAGGCAGAAGAAAGGAACTGATGAGTTCCAGGTGAGGAAATTCTTATAAGATCAAAAAAGAGGAAATACAAACTATAAAAAAAGAATCAAGTGGACCTGTTAGAGATGAAGGCTATAATATAGGAAGTCAAAACCTTCCTTGAAAGGATTAAAAGCAGACTAGATCATACAGAATATCAAATCTCAGTTGTAGAAGATAGACTCACTGGCCGAGAAAAATCCACCACAAAGACTGAGAAAATGGCCCCTCAAGAATGAGAATAATATATGAGAAATACTAGATACCATCAAACATACAAACTCCGAATAATAGGTATCCCAGAAGGTGAAGAGACTCACAAGGGCATTGATAATCTATTCCATGAAATCCTACAAGAAAACTTTCCAAACTTAGAGAGGCATTCAAAGATCCAGTCCCAAGAAATACAAAGGACCCCAAATAAAATCAACCCAAGAAGATCTTCTCCAAGATACATTATAGCCAGATTGACCAAAACCACAGAAAAAGACAAGACAGTAAGATTGGCAAGAGAGAAATGTCGTTACCTACAAAGGATATCCTATCAGGCTGACAGCAGATCTCTCATCAGAAACAATGTGAGCGAGGAAAGAATGGGAAAATATATTCAAAGTGTTAAGGGAAAAGCAATTTCAACCAAGAATACTATACCTGGCATGATTGTCCTTTATATGGGAAGAAAAGACAAGAATATTCTCAGATAAACAAAACCTGAAAGAATTTACCAACACCAGACCAGATCTCCAAGAAGTTCTGCAGGGAGTGCTACACCAGGAAAATTAAATACAGACACACAGAAATAAGAGTTCAAAAAACTAAGAAAATGGCCCAACTTAATCATAGGCACAAGTCTGGAGTTGAATATTATATCCCAGAATTTAATCAGGAAGATCGAACCATGACAGAAGATAAAGTACATGAAACTAAACTGGTGAAATAGAATTTCATGACTTTTGACTAAAACATTGCTGATTTTCTTCTAGGCTTTGTTTTCCAATTTTAGGGATCTTTGTCCTGTCTTGAGCTGCCGATAGATTCATGTACTTACTATTTGAACAGAATCCCAAACTGTTTCGTGGCTTTAAGTTTTAAACATAGTTCCTTCGCATTTCTTTGATTTATTAAAGCTAAAACTGCTTTTCTTGAAATTAAAAAATATAGTAAAAAATATATAATTAATGACTATAGTAAGTTACATAGCATCAGCTAGGTACTACCTTATAGCATAGGCATTCTACTCAGAGTTTCACTCCTAAAGTCAGACATATATTTACAGATATGTATATATCAGCTGAACTTCCTATTGAAAATAGTTAGATTATTTAAGAAATTATGTGAATCAAAAAAATGTGGGGGGAAAAAGAAAGACAGCAGCCTCCCAATTGACCTCTATTTCTTAGTATCCACCCCACTGCCTGGTTTATGGAAGATGCTCAGTAATTATTTGTAACAGATAAAATTGTATAAAACCTAAAAATAATTTTTAAAAAAGAAATTTCATGAGGTAATTAAAAAGTACAGCTAGCTTAATTTTCTCATTACTCCTTATCATTATTTTTACTATTATTGTATAAGCAGTTCTGTGCCTAGAATCCAGCAGACATTGAATAATTGCTAGTAATTTATTATTTTTACATCAGTGATGATATCCCACTGTAACACACAAGGCCTCATCTATGCAGGCACTCAACAAACACTTGTCAAGTTGATGAACAGGCTTGATGCCACTTTGCTTAGATTCCTATTCTGATTCCACCCCTCGTTAGTTGTATGTGGCCAAGATATAATAACCCCCTAATGTTTCCCTTTTC